TATTCTCCAAAACAAGATTCTCTTCAGCTCCCACTTCCTTGCTCTCCAAAGATGAATATAAGGCCCTTTCTACTTAAAGGGTTTATCATAAACAGACATTATGAAATAAGAAGGCACAAAGTCCTGGATCTCTAGTGTCCAAATCCTGAGTCAACAGATAGAAAGCCCATGGGCTTCTGTTCTCTCTTTGCATTCTCCTGAGAGAGCTAGGTTTCCACAGAGACACCTCCTCCTCACTCCCAATATCAAAGGGATGATGGATTTAGTCAAATTTTCTTTGAGAGGTGTCCATAGTTATAAGTTGATTTAAAAATAAATGAAAGTTACAGACAACAGCACATTTACTTGTTTAGTAAGTGAAGTAGGATTTCCATTTTAATGCGGCTTCTCACCATGTTGGTGTTCGTTGTATAGTAACTTCAGGAATTGTTCACTGATTCTGCAAAAATTGTATCCATAGCTGTAATTATATAGATATCTCTTAGGGTTGAGATTTAAAACAGTATTAATAACTTTCAGTGCCACTGGTGAGTTGAGGTCAGTGTTTTATAATTGAATGAAGTCTGGAGTATACATCACTGCAGGTGTGAACACATTTCCCACCAACTACCCAGGCAGACTAATGACCAAAGGGCTATTTTATTAAATTTTCAAGTAAAAAAAAAAATCTCCCTCAGGAATCTCTTCAAAGTTGCAGTTAAATTGTGCAATGATTTAAATTTGCTGCAATAAATTTCATACCAACTCTTGAGTTCCTGGGATTAATAAAAACATACAAAGATATATTGTACTGTGAGTTCTGGGACTTCCTGAAGAAATGGAGGCACCTCAAAGACACAGACAGGGTGGGTGGAGAGGACAGAGAGGGTCCTGAGGGCTGGTCTTAATGCCACCACTCCCTACAAGGGGGCAGGCAGTGCCAGGGTGGGGCACCATGTTCTCTAGTTCCAAGAAAACAGCAAAGAGAAGGAATGTCATAGCCCGTGTTCAGAAGGACATGGGAAAATGGAATCATGGGGGTTTGGTACCATTCCCCTTGGTTCTCAAGAGGGTCCAGGTAGGAGAAGCTGAACATGATCCCAGATTTATTTCATTATTACAATGTACTGCTCTCACAGTCCTCACCACCCATGGAGCTCCAAGGGAAGAAAATTAAGCAAAGCAATTGGCCTACTCGGTGGGGCTCCTTCTCTTCCACTGATTTCTGGGATATCCTGACCACAGATCTCCACAAAGGACAGCCTGGAAGATTGGGGGGAACGTAGAGGGAGCCGGCTCAGTTTGCACCCTTGACTCTCCAACAGTGCACAAGGGTTCTTTTCTCTCCACATCCTTGCCAACACTTGTCTCTGGTAACAGCCATTCTAACAAGTGTGAGGTGGCGTTTCCCTGATGTGGAGTACCTTTTCACACTTGCTGGCAAGTTTGACTATTTACCTCATTTAAGTGGAATCATGCAGTATTTGTCCTGTGACTGGCCTATTTCATTTAGTACAATATCCTCAAGGCTCATCCATGTTGACACATATTGCAAGATCTCCTTTTTTAAGGTTGAGTAACATTCCATTGTATTGTATATACCACATTTAAAAAGATCCATTCATCCATCACGAAGATTTAGGATGTTTCCACATCTAGGCTGTTGTAATAGTGCTACAATGAACACAGGAGTGCCGATACTGTTTTGAGATGCTGATCTCAAATATTTTGGATAAAGACCCAGATTGGGATTGCTGGATCATAGGACAGTTCTATTTTTAATGTTTTAAGGAACATACTTTTTTCCAGTGACTCAACCACTTACATTCCCATTAACAGTGTACAAGGGTTCTAGCTTCTCTATATCCTCACCAACACCGTTCTTCTGATTTTTTGCTAATAGCCACCTTAACAGGTGTGAGCTTTTGCCTGTTTTGATTTACATTTCCCAGATGACTTATGACACTGTTGACACCTCTCTCATTCTTGAAACATTTTCCGTGGCTTCCCTCATTCCAGTCGGCTTTCTTGATCACTTATGGGTTCCACCTAGCCCTTTTATCAGACACATACTCCCTGGACCACCTTGCCTGTGTCTATGCCTACAATCATGTGCTGAGGTTCCTATATCTGCATCTCGATCTGATTCCTCTAATTTTTATATCCATTTTACCCAGCAATCTACCAAGTACCTCCGTAAGAATGTCCC